GAGTGGTTGTGTGGGGGGTGGGGGGGGGCAGGGCGGGCCCCAGCCTCCCCGGGGGCTGGGGTGCCCGCCCGCCGCAGTACAGAAGGTGGAGTGTCTAGTTTGTTTTGTTTTTTTCTGTCTTATTTCCCAAAGAAACCAACTTGGATTCCTGTACCCATAATCTCTTAATCTCTTGCCTTATGCTGTGTGAGGCTGTATTTCCCAGCATCATGTCTGTCCCCTTCACTCTTAAATCCAAATGAGATGAAACAGAGAACAGCTCTTCAGGTGGAGCCCAAGCACCCATGGATAAGATCCGAGTAGACTAATGGTACACCCTGCTCCCTGGCTTCACTACACTCTACCCAGTCTCCCAACATACACATCCCAATCAAAGTATGTTTTCTGCAATGGAGTGGAGTAAGATGTCTTTTCTTGAGGAAGCCACTTGTACTATTTAGATTGTTTTAATGGTTTTTATAGTGTGTCTTATTTAAACAAGACAAGTCCATTTTTACTCTTTCTTGTTAACAACTACCTATATGGAGATGTTTTGTTTGATGTAAAGATTTCTTCTAAAACCTGTTAGCAACAACAGTGCAAAAAAATTAAATAATTGTAGTATAACTAAATCCTTTTAAAAACAATCTTGATTTCTCATCCCCTGTCCTCAGATTATAGGAAAAAAAGGAAAAGTAGATGTTTGTGTTTTGAATCCAAAGTGTGTCACTCTTAGTGAACTATACGGACGTCTGAACATTAACACCATGGAATGGAGTGATGGGTTATTAGCAGCAGCAATCCGAAATTATGTGAATGCTAGCACTGCAGACTACTCCAAGAGAGGCAGTACTCTCGGGATATTGTCAAGAATCACAGATTTTTCTAGTGTAAGTTTATTTTGTTGTATTTTGGTTTAGTTTGGTTTATTTGTTTTGGGGGATTGTGTTTTAGGGGTGTCTTTTTGTGTTCTTTGGCTTGTCAAGACAGGGTTACTCTGTAGTTTTTAAATGGTCAGTAAATCATAGAACAAAGTTGAAGGTAATTGTTGAAGGGAATGCAAAAAGAATTAAGCCTAAATAGAGAACAACCTTGTGATCAAGTATCACTAATGTACCTTACAAATTAAAGAATGAGGCTAATTTTGTAAAACATAAAAAAGAGTAAACTATTTGATGCAAAATTTGTTAAACAGTAAATATAAGTAGCAAAAAATGGAAAGTTGTGTTCTCATAACTAAATAAGTGTGAGATTATTGGTAATTTTCAGTAGGTAAACTATAGATTATTGGTAATTTTCAGTAGGTAAACTATATCAGCAAAAGGTGATATTTGAAACCAAAGGGATTAGCAAAGATAGAAAGTAATAGGCTGCATCTGCTCACAAAGTAATCTACAAACAGAATGAGGACAATTTGAGAATATAATTAGACCTCAGTATCTATGAATTTCACCTGCAGATTCACCCAAAAAGACATCCAAATGATTTGGAAATGGAATGGTGTCTGTGTGAAGTGTTCCTCACCATTGTCTCCTAAACAATCTAACAACAGCATACATAGCCTTTAACCTGTATTAGGCTGAGTAACCCCGACATGAAGATGTGTGTAGGTTGTGTGTGTAAATACTGTACCGTTTTATGTAAGGTACCTAAGCCCTCTATTTTTGTGTTTTCTGGGGCTTTCTAGAAACGGTCTCCCCTTTAGATACCAAGGAATGACTGAGCATGTTGAGATTTCTACATTAAATATCCCTTTGATTTAAAAATGGACTCCTAGTCATTTAAAGAGGCAGTTTTATTAAGCTGATGATATTTTTTATATTGGAAATATGATGCTTTCTATATTGAAAGTTATGAGTCATCTGTCTACTATATGAACCACGTATATTGTCTCAAACTCATGAAGTACATTTAGCAATATGTTCTTAATGGAGTCATCTTTTTCAGTTTATCATAAAGGTTTGCTAAATTTTTACCAAATGCCTTTTTTTTTATCTACTGAGGTGATAATACATTTTTGCAATTTGTTTTTTGATAGCATTATGAGTTTGTATGTATGTATGACATGATGATGAGTTTGATTTGCATGTGTTAAGGCATGTTGTATTCTTGGGATATATCCCACTTGATCATAGCTAAATCCTTTATGTGTAATATTGTATTTGAATTGCTGGTGTTTTGCCCAAGAATTTTGCATTTGTTTTGATGAAGGTCATTAGCCCATTGCTTTCTGTTTCATTGTGTTCTTTTCAGTTTGGTGTCATGGAATAAGTCAGAAGAATTCTTTTCTCTTTGATCTTTTTAGCATATCGAGGGAGAATTAGTATTCTTCTTTCTGATCAGTTGTGGAGCTATCTGGTTCTGGACTTTGTTTGAAGAGGAATGTTTTGTTACTGATTCTGTCTCATTACTCTTTACTGGCCTTTCAGAGGTTTTTTTTTAAGATTTTATTTATTTATTATGTATACAACATTCTGCTCCCATGTATATCTGCACACCAGAAGAGGTCATCAGATCTCATTACAGATGGTTGTGAGCCACCATGTGGTGGCTGGGAACCGAACTCAGGCCCTCTGGAAGAGCAGTCGGTGCTCTTAACCTCTGAGCCATCTCTCCAGCCCCAGAGTTTTTTGTTTTTTTTTTTTTTTTCCTCCTTGATTCAATCTTGGCGAGATTTTGTCTAGGATTTTGTTCTTTTATGTTATGTTTTCAGGTGTGTTGGCATTTCATTTTAAATTTTTATTAATCCTTACTGCTTCTGTGGCATCTGTTGTAATGTCTCAGTTTTCATCTCTAATTTCATGCAAGTTTTCTCCTTAATGCAGCTCAAGGTTTGTTGTTTTTGCTTATGTCTTCAAAGGGCCAGTTGTCTTATGTGGGGCAGAACTGTAGTTGAATTCAGGGTCCTGTGCATGGGCAACACAACTTCTGCCACTGAGAGCCCCATCTACACCCCTCCCCCTTTTCTGGTGCAGGATCTCCCTAATTATCCTGGCTGACCTCAAACTCGATTGTGTAACCAGGCAGGCCTCTTTCCTAGCATCCTAAGTAGATGGGATGACAAGCCTATATCACCAAGTTCAATCATTCTGTTGTTCTTTGAAGTTAAGTTGCACTAGGCATGGTATGTTGCACACTGTTAATCCCAATGCCTGGGAAGGCAAAGATGGGTAGGTGTCTATGAATTCAAGGTAATGTGATCTAGCATATACTTTGCAACGGTTTTGTTGTTACAGATGTTGCATTGTGGTCATAAACACTATGATAATATTTTGCAATTTTGGGGGACTTGACATATGTTGTGATCTGTCTACTGAGGAGGGTGTTGTTCATGCCGATGTGAAGTGTGAGTCCCTGTAGCTGTTGGGTAGGCTGCTTTATACCACATGTCATAAGGTCCAGTTGGTGAAGTTCATCTGTGCTGTTTCTTTGCTGATTTTGTAGCTGGATGTTCTGACATTGGTGAAAATAGAATGTTAAAGTCCCTTGAATTAATGTACTAGAATCATTCAGCCTTTAAGTCTATTGATATTTGTTCTGTATACCTGATACTCTGACACTGAGTTTCCATAAATTTATGTTGTTTACAGTCACTTGCTAAATGCATCTCCTCTTTGCTTTGTATTTACCATGAGAGTTTCAAAAAACATTTCTAAATTATGAAGCCCATATTAAAATAACTACTTAACATTGATGATAAAGACAGAAAAATGCTAGTACAATGTTTACATCCTAATTACTCATTATATAATTTAGATTTTCCAAGTTGGTGTCTCTGCTACAGCAGATACTGATAACAGTATTTTTATGAAGACAATAGAAAAAGATGTTAAAACTCCAGAAACTCGTGGTAAGTGTTATTATTAAATTCAGCATGTTAATGTAGATAGTAAGTTTTGAGTCAACATGAACTGCATTCATGTCTATATTTTTTACTAGTAATATTTTTATTCTTGTGCAATTTACTTCTTCCTCGTGTGTTTGCTTAAAATTTCTAATCTCATAACAGCTTTGCAGTAGTTACGTATCCTATTATGATATAGAACTAGTAGAGGTTAAGTAGCCTTTCAGCTTATGAATAGTTAGGACTGAAATGACATTGATGGCAGAAATAGTGGCATGAGAAGCAGCAGTGGCAGCTCACAGTCTCCCAGCAGCATTGTGATGCCATCTGTGCATTGCCAGCTTGAATCACACAATGCCAGCAGATCCATCGCTAATGCGCAGAGTGGGCGCATAATCCAGCCCCTGCTCTGTAGGAGCTGCCTCTCTACTGGAAGAGCCTGGGCCTCCTTTTCCTACCCCAGACTGAGCCTCACAATGGCTCATCCGCCAGCAGTATGTTTGTGGTCCACTTTTCCTGCTGCATCTGCTTTCCTGGGAATTGGGATGGCATTTTGAGGAAAGTACAATGATTGGGTGCAGTAAGTTTTTCTTAGGAGGTTTTAAGACAATGGCAAGGCAAGCCATTTCAAGCAGAAAGAGCCCATCTCCTTATCAGTGGCTGTCTGGATCCTACATGGTGCTCTTTGGTTCATCAAGGACACCTGAATGTCTTCTGGGTGCTTAACTGTTTTCTGTCTGCATGACAACCTCCCTTACCCTGGCTGAGAGGTACTCTAAAATCATTGACATGCCTGTCAGTATAGCATGCAGTGCTGTCTTCTGGATGTTTGCATCTTCTTCCCCCCAAGTTTATACATTAAAATCCTAATCCTCAAGCTAATGAGTTTAGAAGGTAGGGCCTTGGGAAATGCAAATGGTCTTGAGGGATGTGCCCTTGCGTGTGGGTTTGGTGTCTTATACAAGATGTGCTCTGACCCTCCTGATGGAGTTAGTGTCCTTGTAAAAGAGACTCAAGGGGGACGAATCTTCCTGTCACGTGACCATACAGCAAGAGGGAGGTTCCCTCTTTGAACCAAGAAGCTTACCAGATGATCTTCCAGCACCTAGATCTCATCCCTCAGCCTTCAGTGCTGTGACGAGCACATGTGTACTGTTTATACACTGCCCAGTCAGGGACATTGTGTTACAGCAGCCCAGAGAGACTATGATGGCATGGAAAGGGGGTGTTACAGCAGCCCAGGGAAATTATGATTGCATGGGAAGGGGTGTTACATCACCCCAAGGAGACTATGATAGTGTGGGAAAGGGAGGAATTGGGTTCTAAGTGTGACAGTTTAAGCTGTCTACTTGATTCTTTGATATTGCCTAGCAACAGCATACCCAAAACCTATTCTTGAGTGGAAGATGCAAATTCACAAATCATATTATTATGACAAATTATAGAACTATGTGTCTTTCTCCTATCCAAATTTTGAGGGTTAATTATACATTTCAATAATCTAAGAATGTCCAGAAAATGCTTAAAGCAATTTCATACATATAGTGTATTTACTGACGTTAATGAATACTGGAGAGTATACATAAATAAAGCATATTGTATAAGCATGTGTCCCATTCATGACAGCCAAGCATGCCCAACATATGCACAAGTGTCACCTAAGCACTCCCTCCAGTGTTTCCAGGGACAATCGATATTTGCAGCTTAGAAAAGATTTTCTAGATGTCAGGAGTGGGGTTGGGGGTGAGGGGAGCTCAGTAAATAAAGTACTTGGCACACATGCATGGCACTGGAGTTCAGATCCCCAGAATCCAAGCAGAAACAGGTATGTATGCATCTGTAATCCCAATATTCAGGAGGCAGAGATCGGAGACCAGGAGAAAGAAGTGGCCAGCTAGACCAGCCAAAATTACCAGTGAAAGAGCATGGCTCCATGAGCAAAAGGGGAGAAGGGCAGAGGAAGGCCTCTGACAGCACATGTGTGCACACATGTATACACACCCTCACACGTGTGCCCATTGCACACGCGTGCACGCGCGCACACACACACACACACACACACACACACACACACACACACAGGAAGCTGTTTTCTAATATGATAGAAAGTTTTCGAGACTGTAACAAGAGAAATCAGAGATTAGTCTCAGCTGCACTGGAAATGTTTCTCTTTGCAGATTTCGATTGGCAGTGGATTGTATTAGACGGCCCAGTTGATACCTTATGGATAGAAAATCTCAACACTGTGCTCGATGAAAACAGAACGCTGTGCCTGGCAAACAGCGAAAGGATCACCCTAACGAGCAAGATCAGGGTGATTTTTGAGGTGGACTCTCTCGCCAACGCCACCCCCTCTGTCATCACCCGCTGTGCAGTGGTGTACATGGCAAGTTTTCAGAGCCCGGTCCTGGTAAAGGCGTGTTGTTCAGGGTGACAGCCCATTGTCTCAGTTGTGCCTTCTAGTCCCTGATGAGTAAACTCAGTAGCTCAGAAACTTGGTTTTCCCCCCAAAGTCTCATAATCCAGAAGTAGTAACTGCCATTAACATTACCCTGGGGAGTTAGAACACCAGTAGTGCAGACAAGGTAGGCCATTGATACCAATTCTTTTACTAGCAAAGGAAAGATTGCCCTGAAGCCATCCTTACTGTACAACTCTCAGAACTTGGGAAAACATTACCAAGACAGTGATCTGGAACTAGTAAACATAATCCCCAAAATTCCATACATGAAACTCACTAGCAGCTGTGATTGGCCATCTAATCTACATGATTTGGGGTTTGGATTAGAATGAGGACTGGGGCTGCCTAGGCTGACTGGTTCCTTGAAGCTTGCCCACCCCAGCAGGCCTCCCGTTTCAGATTCCCGTCTCTTGTCTTCTTTTCAAACCATGGTTAAAACAGCAAGATTGCTCCAGAGAATTGTGATTCCTTTAGTTGTGGTTTTTTTTTCTTTGCTGTTGTTGCTGCTGCTGCTGCTGTTTTAGCTTTAAATAAATCTGAATCTAGCCATGGTGTGGGGGATAATGAAGTGAAAGTTAAAAAAAAAAAAAGACTGCCATATATTTGTGTTTTCATGAGGTTTTCTCTTGCTTTTTAGGATCCTGTTGATCTGGGATGGGAGCCATACATTAAGTCATGGCTTGTGAAAACTTCAAAAACTATAAGTCAGCGAGGAATGGAGTGTCTTGGATTAATGATTAAAAAAAGTGTTAAAGAAGGGCTAGATTTCCTGAAGAGGCACAGAAAGTTTTTACCATATCCCATACAAGATTTGACAGTCATCATGACTCTCTGCAGGATTCTAGACGCTTTATTTGAATTCATGCAAATAAAGAGAGGAACCGCAAAAAGTGAGTTTTCCCTGAGTCATACTGACGAAATTATGTCTCCACTCTTCAGTGGCAGCTTGTCACTTCCTAGTAGGTTTTATGAAAGAAAAGTGAAAGCGAGAAGAGTGTAGATTGAGTTAACAGCCAACATGTACATAGAACAAGCTAAAAACCCTTTAACAGAGACGCGCATCCACAGGGGTAAACCAATAACATACGTGTTGAGGTTCATTTTAAAAAAGAATATAGAGAGCTTTAGAAGATCTTGATTACTCAAGAATGTTGTGTTTTAAGGATGTGTTTTAAGTTGAAGGCACACTTAACACCCCTTAGCTATCACTGTGGTTTCATTGTGCCTCCCCCGAAAGGCTCACCTGTTGGGAGTTTTTGTTACAAGCTAGCTGAAGAAACTTGGTCGCTAGGTAGCAGAATCACATCCTGGCTCCTTCCTCGCTCGCTGGCTCGCTGGATCTCTCTTCTTGCTGTTCACAATGAGGTGAACAACCAGACATTTCCCAGACATCCCACCTCCACGATGGTCTGCTCCACCAAGGCCCAGAATCACCTCAGCTAGCGACTATGGACTGAGATGGCTGAAACGGCAAGCCTTATGAATCCATCCTCATTAATACCATTCATTCCCGGCATTTTGTCATGGAGATGGGAAAAATGACTAATAGAAAAGTGGTGCCAGGAGTGAGGGCTCATTACTGTCACTAACCCTGCCTATATGATCCTTAAGCCTGTAGAACTGGTTTCCAGAATGTGAAAATATTCGGAGATACTGGACTGCAGAAGCCCTAAAATGTAAGCAGAACTTAGTGACTCAGGTGGGAGCTAAGACCAGAATGCCAGCAAGGATGTGGACAGGGAAGGCCAGGCCATGCAGTTCCAAGTCTAAATGAGACCTCAATTGAGAACTAGACTTGAGGCCGTCCACCCAGGTTACATTCAAAGAATGTTTTGTCCATGTTGTGAGACTGGGTGAGGCTGAATTTAAATGTTTATACTGATTAATTTGGCAGTGGAGGTTCTGGGACAGCATAGCATTCCAGCTCTGATGTTGTCATTGCCAGCTGCTCATAGCCAGGTTATAGTGAGATTCTGGAACAAAAAGTAGAGCAGAAAACTTGGGAGGGGTGGGTGCAAGTTTCTCAAAAGGCTGGTTTAAAATTGGGGCTCTAACAGGTCTGGCTTCTGAAAAAATCTGTTGAAAAGAAGCCAAACACTTTGCATTTGGAAGATAGGAAAGATGCCTTAATGACATCACAGGAATTAGCTGGACCCCCACCAATTTTAGGGTCAAAGGTCTGAAAGAATAAGGTCATTTTAAGGACTTTCCTTGAGAAGAGAGTACCTCCAGGACACCGTACCTCTGCAGACCTGCCGAAGAAGTCATTTTCCTGGCATTTGTTTCCACTGTGCTTAACTACCCAGGTGCCCAGAGACTGCTGCAGGGTACCAGGGGGAGAGTCCAGTAGCTGTCGAGGGGGATCTCATCACCCAGTCCCCCAGCATTTATATGCTCATTCACAGGAAGATAAACATCGGGTGGAATGCTCACAATAACTTAGTCTTTACATTAACACTGGTTTTAACAGCATTTAGTAGCGCTTTCAATAATGCTCAGCTCCTATGCAGCACCTGAGGGAGAGGTTGGTCTCCCCCATGTGTTTCTGTGGCACCTTTAGTAGTCATGTTTATAGGTTCCAGGAAGAGGGAAAACAACCTTCCCCTGGTGATGTCTTCTGGGTCAGTTTCTTTTTGCTTGCTTTGAGGGTAGAGTTGAGCTTGGCTGTTAGCATCACCCACCTAGATGAACTGGTCGCCAGATGTTTTGATCCTGTCCTGGGAAGCACTTGGTGTCTCCAATCTGGAGACACTGGAGTCCCTTCTCTCAGGGCATTAAAGTTCAGAACTAGCGCTTAAAAATGAAACAAATAATCCCAAACTCTTAAAGTGAAAGTATGTGGCAAATACTGATCTAAACTTTAAAGCCAATCACTCTTATTTCCTGGGGAAGATGTTTCTGGCAAAAGGTTCAGTGCTGGCTTTCTGTACACCAGAGCTTACAGTAAGACCCCAATAGCAATGAAGAGAAAAAAGCACTAGGATAATGTGGTTCATAGTGACTGTAACCCCCAGAAACCAGGAGATTCAGCCAAAGAGGAGCAGAAATGATTCTCAAACTATGAAGATACCTGTTACACACACACACACACACACACACACACACACACACACACACATATATCTTTAAAGTACCACAGGCTTAAAAGATGAGAGACCAGGAATTGAAGGAAACCACTTCCACACTTGAGCTAGAAGCCAAGACAACAACCTACAAACGAAGAGGCATCTGGGACCCTCTGTAACATCACAGGAAGTTTCTAAACACAGTTACACTGAGCTTTCTCCACAGGGAACTACAACCGTTTCCTTCAATAGGTGATTGTTACGATAAATCTTTCCGCCACCGGCTTGAGTTCTGCCTGCACGTGGGTGGCCAAAATAACACACAGAGACTTATATTAGGTACAAATGCTGCTTGGCCAATGACTAGGATTTCTCATCTGCTAGATCAGTCTTAATTAATATAAATCTATATATTTTATAAGACTTATCTTATTGGACGCCAGCGACAAGTGTCCTGTCTTTCCGGGCTCACATGGTGACTTTGGAGGAAGAGAGAAGGGGCCCACTTCCTTCTTGCCTTGTTTATATATGAGTCTCCTTGCTATGTCACTTCCTGCCTGAGACACCACTTCTTTACTACATTTCCCAGAATCCTCCTTGACTTCTTGCCCCACCTAACTTGCTGCCTCATTGGCCAAACAGTGCTTTATGCATCATCCATTAAGACAAACCCACACACAGAAGCACTTCCCCCATCAGGTGGTAGTAAGAAAAGAGAACTCAGATTTATTTTATCTTTTGCTTTGTTTTGTGATGGAGTTTCATGTAGCCCAGGCTAACCCTGAACTTCTAACCAGGATGACCTCCTACTTATACCTCCTCCATGTGGAGTTACAGGCTTGAGCCACCACATCCACTTTTATTGTTAAAAACATGGCTTTGGGAGAAGGAAAATGGATAATATAAGAGATATGTTTCCTCTAAACTCCTTTTACTTCTCATCTGGCTCCTCAATGGCTACTGCACTGAAGGAAACAACACCTACCTGCTGCAGCAACTCTTAAATACTCGGTAGTTCCACAGGAAAGGGTGCGGTCTGTGAGCACTTCCTTACCCTTGATAGACATTGATGTCTGGAATGTACCAGAGTATGACCCTAAAGGAAGGTACCAATTGAGTCAACCTTGTTAAAGCTATTTACCAATACATGCTGAAAATACTGATAAATTCACCTTAGCATTGTGGTTCTAGGATCTTTTATAGAGTTATAACTGGAGAAATATACAAAGGTTTGTGCACAAAGAGGTTTATACACAGCACAACTATTTACAGTCATAAAAACAACCTGAATTCCAACAATGGGAGATTGGCTTAACAATTTCTGCTACAACAAAATCATATTTCCAAGGACAATGGCATAAAAACAGCCTTAAAAATGAAAGAGCAAGATAAGAATACAAGTCTCTTCATTTTTATGAGTTTAAAATTGAAAATACATTGTGTGCTTTGTTATTCAGTAAGTAATTACAATGATATTTTGATGGTTATGGAGGAGAGTGAAACTGGGTTATCATTTTTTTCTTCACACTTTTCTGTTTTGAAGTATTCTAAAAGAGACATATTTTAATATTCACACAAATATTAGAAAGCTAAGCTATAAAGAACGAGTCATGATTTATTCTGCTTTTCTCTATTGAATGGATGACTTGCACAAAATGAGTCAGGAGCAAGGATGGAGAGAGGGATGCACAGTCTGCTTGTGACACTCCAGCAGGAAAGACTCCTTCCATGGCAGTTCAAGCTAGACAATGTTATCAGTTGAGCCTCATTAATTAGCCTATGGGATTTTAGGGCTGTTGTTAATTGTACAAAAATCCTGTTGTTTCTAAGGTGATGATGGAGAAGCTAACATCCCAACTAAAGATCCAAAAACTCTGAAAGTCAAATTCAAGGATGAAGGAAAATGGTGAGTTCCATTCATCCAGCAAATGTGTTTAGAGACCTTCCTAGATGTGAAACACCCAAGGACACATAGGCTCATTGTCAGTAAACCATATTTTGTGGTTTCATAATATTAAAGTCTACATTATTTTATCCCAACTTAGAGTCCTCTGTAGCTAATAAAAGATAATCACATTTTCATGGTACTTTAACATAGTAAGGTTGTTATAAAAAATATTCATCTTGCCTTTACACAATTTAGGATGGAATAAAATTGATGTGAGTTTATTTCATGTATCAGCCCTTTATAAACTATGAAATGTTGAGCCAGTTATAAGGTTTTAAAGCCTTGCCTCGCTTACAAAACTAGAATGACAATGTGACATGCCAGCTGTCTCGATTAGTTAGGTCAATAGTTAGGTGCATGATCCATTACAGCTATGGAATTACTCCTATGTTTCTTCTGGATGATGACCTTTGCTGAGTCCACAGTCTAAATCTCTGCAACCTCCATGGCCAGCAGAGTGACAAGCCACAGCAGTCAAGAAGGCAGTTCAGCTCAACACGACTAGGTAGCTGGTGCTGGTTCAAACTTTGGGAGTCTGACCCCAGTGACTTATTTTAGGCATATTTAAGCACAGTGTGCAATTTGATGAAAACATTTGTGGTGATAATTAATTCAAACCCCATGCACATGAAAAAGCATTCACAAATCTCTTTGGGGAACAAGGGTAAGCTAAAAAAAAAAAATTGGATGACTGTATCGAAACTTTGGTAAGGTACATGTGACACCTTCCATACAGATAGGTTCTGTAGATTGAGACAAACAAGCCTATGAGAAGAGTCTCGGGGAGAACCTGTGTGGTCTGTGGCTCACAGATATTCAAAATCCACCAGGTTAGAATGCATGTCCACTCCCAGCCTTCCTTCCCTTGAAGGGACAGCCCTGTGTCCTACTCCAGGTTCCCCTCATACTTACCTGTGAGCACAAGGACCTCTGCTGCCCACGTTAGCCCACTACTACTCCTCTTATCTCACACAACTCTGTGTTTTGTTCATTCTTCCCTGGCCTGTGAAGATGGCATCATGTCCATTTAGTTCAGAGTGGCTGATAAATAGCAAATATTTAATAAGTATTTGCTAAATTATACACAGCAAGATGTTCCAGACAGAATTATGCCAACATGCTATATGCTGATAGTTGCTAATGAATTTCAATCTGATATATCTTAGTTTTTCACAATTTACATTTTTTATACTATTGAAACAATGAAAGATGTTAGAAATTAGGCTCAACCCTCCTGTTTAACCTTGTCATCATCAATCCTGCCACCACAAAATTCATGGCTCATTAGCCATGTGGAGTCCAGATTAACCTCAACTAGAAAACAGTCTCCTCAGAATCTGCCTGCTGGTCTGCAGCCATGTTGAACTAAGTCAACCCTGAAGACTGGCCAAGAGAAATACCAAGTGGATCACTATTTCCTATGTCTTTCATGAATTATCCTCTCCCCCAACAAGTAAACATTCAACTGTAAATTGACCTAAAATTAAAAAGGTTTACATATAAAAACTAAATAAATGGCATGCATATGTAAAACATGTATATGTATCAAATAAACCATCAAACATGTATAAAAGTATATCATGGTAAAGGTATATGTGCAATAGAATTATTTATGTTAAATAAAGGTATATGGTAAATATGTCAACATATTGCCAAAAATAGATATGAAACAAAAGTTAAGTAGGAATGTCTTGCATATATGCTACCTTAAAAATAAACACAGTAACTTATGTGGCTGCTATCTAAGGAAGCATTATGTATTAGATCTAAAATTTTATGTGAATACTTTATTACAATTTTTTAACAAAACTTTGATGTGATGCTGAAATAAATTTTCCAACCACTTATAAAGCTTTTGACATTCACCTTCCCACACAGCTACTACCGGGATGAAAATGCGTGGTATTTGGAGAAAAACCCTGAGAAGTTAACAGTAATGATTCAGAAGATCTTTGTGTTTGCTTTTACGTGGGCATTTGGAGGGGTTTTAAAGCGTGAAGACCAACATGAGGAAGACGTGATATTTCGTTCAAAATTTGAACCTGATTCTCTTGCAGAAGTAACCTATAATTTTGACAGACTTGTTCGTGAATTATTTGAAGATGATTCAGAAAAAGGTCAGTTGCCTACCAATTATAAACTAAATCATTTGTTTTTGCTAAAAGTGTAAAATCTAAGTTATACACAAACTAGGAAGATTGTGGGAAGTGTGTTTTGTGAGTAAAGAATGTTAAGGTCTTTGTGGGATAGAAATATCAAACTTTGGATTAATCAGGGCAAGATATAAATCAGTATATTTAAAACAAACAGAATGCTACAAGTAAATTAATAAATATATGTTATATACAAATACAAAATAAGGCAGAGGGAGCAGTAAAGTAAGATGAAAGCAAAAAAGTTAAAGCAGATTGAAGAACACTATATTTAAAAATAATAGCAACCTACTGGGGGGGTTGGGGGATGGCTCAGAGGGTAACAGGATTTTCTGTGCAAGCATTAATACCTGAGTTCGAATCCCCAGCACTTACTCAAAAAGCCAGGAGTGGCTGCCTGTACTTGCAGCCCCAGCATTGAGGTGTGGAGATGGAAGGACTTAGAGACCAATGATCCTAGCCAAATGGTAGGTTTATGGCTCAGGGAAAGCCACAGTGTCTCATGGCAATAAAGCGAACAGTGTCAGAAGACAATTGATAGCCTACTCTGGCCTCCACATGTGTGCCCAAGGTGATGTGTGCACACATATGCATGTATGACATACACAAGAACTCACAAAGCAATTGTGAACTCATATGAATTTAACATCATAGTTTTATCAACAAAATGCTAAGGATTCTGAGAGATAGCTATGAACTCTAAAGTCATAGTTAAGTGACATGTTGTGACTCATGCCTTTAACCCCGGGGCTTAGAAAATAGGAGCAGTTGTCACCCTAGAGTATATAGCAAGTTTGACTCAAGCCTGGGCTACATAAGACCTTATCTCAAAAAGAAAAAGAAATCATAACAAATTATTTTTAATGTATCTCTAAAGAAACTAAAAAAAAAAGACAAGCTATAAAAACTAACACAGTGTATATTAATATATTAACCATGATTAGACATATACATCTATCCAGTTAAATAGTAACTCTGCTATCTTTGATAAAACTATGGTTAATCTATTTTGCTTTCTTATATTTTCAAGAATTTTTTTAGTAAATACTACTTTTTAAATGGGAAAGAAATATGATTTACAAATATTTTCAACATTCTGTATTACTTTGGCTTGACCTGAGCCAGTATGTTACTGGAATTAACTAGCATCCAAACACACAGTAATAACAAGAACTCTGGGATAAGATTTCATAGGATATTTGGTCATAACTTACTCTTTTCTACATGCGAAAAGTTTAAAAGTTAAACTTTTGCTTTTGTACACACCAGCATTAAGAGGAAATGGGCTGCCTGTTTTATATAGTGGCGTGAACTTGAGTGGACTCGTGGCTCACGAACCCTTAACTTGCAGGTAGAGCGCATGTCTTTGGTGAGCCACTCCTTATTGGATTCTTGTGTGTGTTGTTTTCAGACATGGGTATCAACTTACCAGGTGGCGAACGGTCTATATTTGGGTATTTTGTGGACTTACAGAATTGTGAGTTTATGCCTTGGTCAGATTTAATTCCCAATGCTCAAACAATAATTCAAAGAGGTAAGTATAATTACTTTTTAAAGGTTTGTAACTTATCTAAAATTCTGGAGTTGTATTAATCATAAAAATGGATGTGTTGGCAACGCCAAGATTTGCCATGTTCCAATATGTATCTTTGTAGGGACAGCTTTTACTCATATTTATAAAATGTGCCTTGAAATTGCCTTAGAACATTATATAAGAACTGTGTAGTAGGAGCAGGAGAGATGGTCCACGATGAAGAGTGCTGGCTGCTCTTCCAGAGGACCCAGGTTCATTTCCCAGCACCCACATGGCAGCTCACAGCCATCTGTAACTCAAGATCCAGGGAATCTGATGTCCTCTTCTGGCCTTCCTGGGCACCAGGCATGCATGTGATACACAGACATACATGCAGGCAAAACACCTGTAAATATAAAATAAATAAATAATTTTAAAATGTATAGAGTATTTAGACACATTATAGAGCTACAGTGTGCAGAGACTCTCAGATGACAGTGTCTACTGATTTTAATTAGATGTGGTCACTAACCAATAATGGTATCTACTGATTTAATTAGATGTGGTCACTAACCACTAACCAAGGAAAGTAACTCTTTAAAAGTAAGGAGAACACACACATAAGATCGTGTACTTGGTTGTAAGCAAAGCCACCAATTAAAAAAGAATAAGGTGTAACACAGTGGTTCACCCCTGGAATCCCAGCACTTAGAAGGCTGCGACAGGAGGATAGCCATTAGTCCAAGTCCAGTCTGGAATACATAGTGAGTGCTGGTCTGGCCATTAGACCCTATCTCATAAGAGCAACAGCAGACAAGTAGAGAACGGTGGTCTAATTTTTATGTTATAAGTATCCATGGACTCTAAATTGCTTTTATTTGCAAACTGCTTCTGCATATCACAGAAGATTCCTTACACTTTCTGAATGATGAGAGCTTGGTAGGAGATGAAGGCAAGAACTTAACAACAAAACTTCATTAAAATTAAGGTTATTTCAGCTTTATAGTTTTCAACTCTTAGTGGTGTGAATCCCATAAACGTTGAACAGAAATCATGAGTTTTTTATTTCCAGTTTGCATCGTTTCCCAGGCTAGTCAGAAGCAATGACTCCTGTAGCACTGGGTAGTCACCAGTAGCTGCAGCTCCCAGCCAGCCCTACCCACAACCTCAGGGTAACAGCCTATATACTCCCTGAACATAGGTTTACTGGAAGTAACTCCATTGTAAGTTGAGGAGCACGAGATTGGGGTTGCTGGGGGACAGCAGAGGCAGCGGGAGCCAGGTTGGCAAGGCAACTGCCTCCAGAAAACTACAGCAGCAGTGGCCTGCTTGCCAGAGGTCCATGTGAAAACATGGCCTCTGTTGCCACTGCCCCACAGCCCTGGCATCTTCAGCCTCAGCCTCCTTAGCCATGGCTGGCAGGAAAGGCATGGAAAAGAAAGTCCCCACTACCAAAGTCTTCAGCACCGTCAAATGATCCAACATCAGAAATAGACATGGATTTGCAAATCTAAGTGATGCCCAAGAGGTTGTATTTATAGAGCCATTAGGAAAAATAATCCAGACCTATGAGATGGCTCCGTGGATAAAGGCCACCAAGCCTGGTGACCTGAGTCTGAGCCCTGAATCTACGTGGTACAGAGAAACCACTCCCACAGGATCCTCTGAGCTCTACCCACTCACTGGGGCATGTATCTGACCCCATACACACTAAAGTATACACTGTGGCATGTATCTGACCATGTACACATAAAGTATACATTTTAAAATGTTTTAAAGAAGACTCCATGGTGGCGTCTGTCCAATGTAGAAACTGTAGAGTTTAATGTGGTTGGAGGAAAAGGTATGCTGAAGCTGCCAATGGGCCTGGCCTGCAAGGAGTTCTCCTAACAGTTTAACACTGCTCGGCACAGCTCCAGCCAAGGCGGCTTTGGCAGATGCCATGGACCTCCCAGTAACACTGCTGAGAGGGAGAGGTGAAGTGTGCGATGAGATCCACCTACCCACCCAAGGCAACCTGTGCCGGGTCTTCAAATAAAAAGCCAGCTTGAAAGTACTTGAAAGGTATCACAAAGTGTAGAACATGACAATATCAGGGCTAGAGAGATGGCTTGGAGGCTAAGAACACTGGGTGCTCTTGCAGAGAACCCAGTTTCAGCTCCCAGAACCTACACAAAGTCTTAACAACCACCTGTCACTCCAGTCCCAGGGGATCCAGTTCCCTCTTCTGGGCTCCATGCACATAGTGCAGACAGACATGCAGGCAAAACACCTATATAGGTAACATAGAAAATATTTAAGTGATACAGTCAATTTAGGAAAGAATAATAGGAAATATTTAAGTGATATGGTCAATTTAGGAAAGAATAATAGAGCTTTTGAAATTTTTATTGTATGCATGATGCATGTGTGCACACACGTGTTGCTGTGGCAATTGTGTGGAAATAAATAAACACGTCTAGGATTACCCAGCTTGCATAGCGAGAGCCTTTACCACTGAGACGTTTTGCTAGCCCAGAATAGGTCTTCTACAAATAAAAAATGCGGAATGAAGACACAAAACCAGGCCTGGAAAGTTGGCTCAGCAGTTAAGAGCTCTTGTTGCTCCTGCTGAAGACCTGGATTTGATTGCCACACCCATGTCTCACTGTCATCTTTTACTCCAGCCCTAGGGCTCTTGTGACCTTCACTGGCACCAGGCATGCACACCGTGCACAGGTACACTTGTAGGAGAAATACTCATACACATAAAATAATGAAATAAAACTTTTAAAGAAATAAACAAAAACCCAAAATAATCCACTTGAGCAATGTTTTGCCATTTTGAAGCATATGTCTTAAGTTAATGTTATTTTGAAAAGACACAGCAGTTAGGTTACAAGAGGAAAAAGGATACAAAACTTACAAGGTAATTACTAACTTGCCCAAAAAGTATTGAGTAACAAAAACAATGGGGTGCTTTCTCATTCCAGGTCATCCGGAACTTAAAAACTGTTTTCTGCCCTTAGGGACCTCGCTGCTGGCTGACTTCCTGGGATCCAGTGACAATGTGATGAAGATGAAGGAATGTGGGGAGTGTGTGAACTACACTGCCACCAGGGACACCATCTGCTTCTCTTTCGTCATGAGCCTTCTCCTGAAGAACTCCTACCCTGTCCTTCTCACAGGTCTTAATAAGTAACGGGATTTCTAAGTTAGGAAGAAGTTTAACGATTATTGAATCTAATCATGTTTAAGTAGGAATTTAGAGAGACTAATTTTCCATCTTACCAACAGCCTATGAAAGCCACTTTAACAGGGGACATTGTAAGCTGCCAGTGTACCTTCCTTGTCTTCCTCCTTCCCCACCCCACTTTTTTTTTTTTAGATGGGCTCTTGCTGAGCAGCCCAGCCTGCCATTGAGCAGGTGATCTCCTGCCTCAACCTCCCAAGTGCTGGAATTATGGGTACACCCACCACTCCAGACTTGGATGTTTACATTCTTTCCATCTTTTCGTTACATAAAGGACAAATTCTAGAAATATCAACAACCGATGACTATGTGGTTGACTGCCATAGTCCATGGGCCCTGATCCTTAGAGGACCACCTCTGGTAACACCAATTGTCTAATTAAACTTGAACATGCAACTTGTAAACATGGCATAAAACTTTACAATCTTTCACTGTTACTAAAGGAAAGACTCAATACAGTTCCTGTTCATTCTGCATACTTATCCAATCCATTGGCTAAGGTTTTCTTGTCTCTGGCCTGTGCTGTGTATCACCAGTAGCAAATAATAATGTCCCCAGGGGCACACACAAAGAGCTTCAGTGATATGACACTCAGATGACACATACATTTGCCTCTGACCTGCTGTAAGGAAACTTGAATTTTTCCACTTTGTGAACTTGGAGTCATGAGTCCTTGCTCTGCCTCAATACGTTTATTTTTAAATGCCACCTTAGATTGTGTTAGCAAAAAAAAATAATAATAATAAGGGAACTGGGTGTTGTGATGTATGCCTGTAATCCCAGTACTCAGGAGGCCAAGGCAGGAGGATTGTTGGGTTCAAGGCCACCCTAGGCTACATAATAAGCCCCTCCCTCACAAAAGCAAAATGATGGAGTGGGCTGAAGGCCCGGGGTCAGCAGCACTTGCTGCTCTTGCAGAGGGCTCAGGGTCATTTCCTAGCACACACGTCACAGTTCCTAACCATCTATAACTCCAGCCCCAGGAGAGTCTTCAGCCCTCTTGGGCTGAGTCGTGCACAGGCTGCATGAACACGTACAGATAACAGTACTCGCTGCACATAAAATGTCCTTTTCAAATTGATTTTGTTTTGTTTTGTCCAAAGAGTTTCATTTAATGTAGGTCTATCATGCTGTAAGCCAGAAACAATTGTGATGGGCTTAAATGAGCATTAAATAAAAATTATAATTATCTCCTAATCTGTCTTTTGTAAGAATATAAATTAAACAATTTGAAAGAAATCCACATTAAGTCCCTAATTAACTTCTCTCACATTTAAAACGGAAGAGCAAAAATGTGCTTTCTGTGCCAATTAAATGAATAAATATGCTCCTAGTTCATTTTAACATACAAACGTGTGTAATTTTCTGACATGTGACTCTAACCTAATGTATCTCCCTCCCCCTTAGGAGACTCTGGTGTCGGGAAGACTGTGGTCATCAGTGAGATGCTTGAAAAGCTAGAGGGTCGAGGAACATTTGATATAAAATTCGAGTCAATTTTAGGAAAAGTCCTGTTACATAATGAAATTAAAAGATCATGGTAATATATATATATATTATATATATCTTTAAATTTGACTTTTCTGGTAAGACTGTTTCCTTGCCAGACAGTGGTGACCCATGCCTTTAATCCTAGCACTCGGGAGGCAGAGGCAGGCGAATCTATGTGAGTTCAAGACCAGCCTGGTCTATAGGAGCTAGTTGGAGGACAGCCAAGACTTACACAGAGAAACCCTGACTCAAATCTTTTATATGATGATGAGAATTATGAGGCAATAAGAAAAATATTTCTCAATCTCTGTCTCTCAATCTCTGTCTCTCTCTCTCTATATATATATATATATATATAGATATATATATATTCTCACAAATATATATATTTGTGAGAATGGGCTGTTTTAGTGTATGCTTGCATTATAAAATGATGTCAGCTGTTTAACACGCTTGTCACCTCATGTACTTACATTTTGTAGTGAGAACACTTTAACCTGCGCTTCCTGCAGTTTGCAGTACATGTCAACAGTGACTTCCAGGTGACACATATTGAAATCAGATTCCTCAGACACCCTATTTATTCCCGCTCATCCTCAGCCCCTGACACCCACCCCTCTTTCTGCTTCAGTGAGTTGAGCTTTCTTCAGATTCTCACTATAGTGGAGACTACACAGAATTGAATACTTCTTGCCTGGCTCAGTTCACTCTTTCTATGGCACTATCCTGTTGCTTTGATTAACACTCATTTGTATTCTTTTTATTTGAATTTTTAATTATGTGTCTGGGGTGGGGTTTGTGTGGATGCCGATGCCAGCAGAGGCCAGAAGTGAGCATCATATACCCTGGAGTTTTGGGCAGTATAAACACTATAACAGTATTGATTTTTCTAAATCATGAATACTGGCTATAGTTCCAGATATTTGTGTGACTTTTCAACTTCTTTATAGTTTTCAATATATAATTTTTTTTTTACTTACTGAGATAATCATTATAGCTTCTGCCCCTTTACTACTGTGACATCACTTTTATTGATTTGTATATGTTGGACCATCCTTGCATCCCACGGATAAATTTCACTTGATCATGAGGAATGAGTGGCCTCTTTAATGTGGTGTCAAGTTTGGGTTTGTTAGCTTTCTGTTGAAGATTTTTGCGTCTGTGTTCATAAATGATACTGTCCAGAAATGTTCTTTGTTAATAGTGTTTTCTTACCAGGGCAATGCTGTCTTCATGTGATGATTTGGGAAATACTCCTTCTACCTCCATTTTCTGGTAGCATATGAGCAAAGCATCCATCCTTCTTTAAAAAATCTGTAGAAGTCGGTGTGAAACCATGCAAAGTAAAACCCCACAGTGTGAAACCACACAGTTGTGAGATATCTTTTCTTTGAGGGAGGACTTTTGTCACTGACTTAACCTCCTTATTATTAGTTCACCTTGATTTTCTAGTTAGAGGAAAATCTTTACTTTGTTTCCAGAGTGTTAACTGCTGGATCCATTCCTTTAAATCAGATATACTTGCGTTTATTTTAAATATAACTAAGTTTAGAACCACACATTTTACATAACATAAACAATGCAACCATAAGCTCTTTTCCTCCCAGAAAAAAATGCATCTCATCTACTCACAAAGTTTTGCATAATATCAGTTTGTTGTAATAGAATAAGTCCTCTACATATGAAATATGACAAGACTTTCTATCAGGAGCTTGTGCCTATCATTCTGAATTTTGTCTGCCTCTTCCTAAAAGAAAAATATAAACTTCTTTTGCAAATAAAATTTTCTGAAATGAAACACATTTCTAAAATTAAGTTAAAATACACATTGTTAAAATACTAGAGAAGCCTGTTTTTTTTTTTCCAGCTGAATAAGGAAATGGCATGTGGAGCAGTCTTAGGACTATAAAAGTGTGAGCAGAAAAAGAAATGTTTTCTTGTAGAAATCTAAGTAAAATCAATGGTGTGCTGCTACTTTGATTAGATTTTATTACTGCAGCTAAAATGGTAAACTAATTCGGGGTCCTTTAAAACTTTTGCTCCCAACAGCATAAGGAAGAATATCAACCTCTTGCTTGCTGAGACCTACAAAGCAGCTCTCGGAGGTTTTGGTAAGTGTGACCATACGGGATCAAAACTTGTCTATTGTGGCCATATGCAAAGCCATTCCTTACAGTGAGAAGTTACAGAGTAAAAGCTAGAATCGCTTTAATCCCAGCACTTGGGAGGCAGAGGCAGAGGCAGGTGGATCTCTGAGTTTGAAGCCAACCTGGTCTATAGAGCTAATTCTAGGGCAGCCAGGGCTGTTACACAGACAAACCCTGTCTCAGAAAAAAAGAAAAAGAAAGAAAAAAAAAAACTGAATTGTTCATTTAAAATACAACCTGGTGGAAGTTATCCAAGACCCACTCAAACCTCCTGAAAAGGTATAAGAGGCTATGGGGGAGGAGACTGTGTGTTCCCACAGGTGACTCCTGCTGCCCTGGTAGAAGAGCAAGAAGGATCTAGAAGGTGCAGTCTGGCTCGGTTCCTCCCTGGTTTCCAGCATAATGCAGGAGAAAGTCACCATTCTGGAGTTCTCATGCCGGGACGGACAGCAGAAGCATGAGTCCAGGGACAGTGTAGGGTCTTAAACTCCTGTAACATCATCCTACACATCCCTCTGGATAACTCTGCCTCTGGGAATGAGTCCTGCCCGCTGCTTTACCATCATTCAGTTGGACGTGGCTAACACACGATGGGAAGATCTTCCATACCATTGCACGAGCTGTGGTTTCTGACGTGCCATCTACAGTGAAAAATTATGGACCCATGGAAAGCAGCTGTCCCTCTCTCGGAGCACTGTCATTAAAAGAATAACAGCAAGATAAAATTGCTTGTTTCAAATTTCCTAGCACCCTAAAATAGAGCAAACATGTCTTAAACTGCCCTAAATTTGTTTCTCTTCTTGTATTTGGTATTACAGATATGCAGAAAATAGAGAATAAAACTGATGACACCACAGTTAAAAATGATAAAGAAATTATAGTTTCTACCATAAATTTTACCACCAATATGACAGTGACCAGAACCAAGGAGATGATTCTGCGAAAGTTAGTCAGAAGAACCAAAGACATACTTGGAGCCCCGAAAAACAACAGGGTAATATAGCACCTCTGAGCCCTCTGTTTGTACGAGTCAAGTAATGAATTGGTTTGTTTTAGTTTGTAAAATGGAGAACATACACTCCTGAGCGCTGTTTAAAAATGCACTTACAATGGGGACTTTGATTTTTTTTTTTAAATCAATTCCTCTTACAGTGTGGTAGGTTGCCCCTGGTGAGAATTACTAAGACTGGAAGAAAGAAAAGCACCAAAATCTAGATAAAGGTTGCCTGGAACCTGAGGTAGCCGGTAATGGTTTGGTGCTGTCATTTCTAGCTCACTTTCTTCTAGTGGGGCTCTAAAAGAGGGACTTGTAGAACCCAGGGACTCTAGAAGGCATGAAGGGAATTGAATGACTTGTGTGGGAACAAGGCAGGTGCCCAGGGGCATCAGGTGATCGTCACCTCACCTCCAGGCTGCTTGGCACGGAATCAACTGACAATTTATCATCTGACTCACAAGGGGAATTTATGATCACTGACTCCCATACAGTACCAAGAAGTTAGTTCAGGGTCAAGAGGTTTGCAAGATTCACAAATGAGGGGCCCCTAGGAGTCCCTGTGTCACTGTAAGCAGGTCTTAGGGCCTCATTTCAGGTTTCCTTGACTTCAACTGAAGATTTAGATAAAGCTGGTAGATCTTTGCCTACACGAATAAACTTCAGGAGGTTTGAAAGGCTGAAAGGCTTTCAGAAACCTATAATCACGCTATGAGAAAAGATAGGCTGCCAGTTAGAAACATGACTGCCAGTCTATATTCCAGGAGGGGAAACAGTGCTCTCCCTGCCCCACCCCACCCCCCAAAAAAGTTACAAACTGGGAAATTAAAGCAGCTATTTATATTTTTATTCCACAAAGAAAAGTTTATTGCACACAGATTCTGATCAATACCCTTGACTGCATAATATTTTCCTAGTTAAAAAGTAATACAGATTTAAAAACTGGAATATGTTTCTGAATTTTCTTCCCAAACCATGGTGCATATGAAATAGAAGAGCTAGATTCTACAGCAGGGCCTTGCCAAGAGTAAGCACATGAAAATAAAAATGCTTAGTGAGCTGGCATGTCCAGAGGTGCCTGCCACAGTTAGATTGCTTTATCAGCAACAAAAAAGCATTCCTGAGTACCACCATATAGTTGTTTTAGGGACCAAGGGCACATAGTTTCTGCTGGTTTGAATGCTTGCTGTTTTCTAAGATCATAGCTTAAAAAATAGATTTGATCTTCTGCTTTTAACTTTTAAAGAGCAGATTATTGCATATAATTTTGTTCTTGAACAAATAGCATAATATCTGTAATTCAAGATTTTTAAAAGGTTGTACTAATTAATACTTTGAAACATCCTGTCCCCCTTCAGATTGTAATATTTATTGATGACTTGAATATGCCAGCACCAGATACCTGTGGAGCACAGCCACCCCTGGAATTGATTAGACAGTTATTAGAAATGGGTGGGATTTATGATACTGAAAGAAATACATGGAAGGTACAGTATACACTAAGATTTTCTCTTCATTTGATACTGTTACAGAGCGCTTACAGAAAGGTTGAGTGAAGAATTTAGAAAGTCTAATTACATAAACATGTTACTATTGAGACCCTTTTGTGCTTCCTTCTCTGGAAATCAAAAGCCCTTGGTTCCAAAACTCACTCCACCGATTTCAACTATCCAATCCTCAGATCTCTCCTCTGTAAAATGAGGTGACTGTGTTGCAAAAAGTTTGACGTCTCAGGAGATTTAAGCTCGGATCCCAGTGAAGCACACTGGCTAGTGAGTGGCATTGGCTGGGACACCAGCCAGACTATCCGAATCACCACTCACCTAAGGCCGAGAGGAAGAGTCCCAATGTAGCCCTCCAGAGAGAATTGGAGAGAGGTGGGAAAATAAAGGAGAAAACAGGAAACCTGGGCAAAAACCCTACAGTGACCAGAAAATAGTCACAGCAGGTCTTTGGTGGGATTTCTGAAGCCCCAGCACGGGCATGGGAAGGACCAGGAGTGTCAAAAGCAACCTATCAGGATAGACTGGGTTCTGTTCTGACTTCAATGGAGTGAACAGGAGCCTAGCCTTTTTTAAAAATTAATACAAAACAATGGGTTTCATTTTGACATTTTCATGCCTTTCTGTCATTGTAGCTTGCCGTGACTTGTCACCCTCTCTCATCCCTGTCCCTCAGTGGTCCCTTCCCTTCCCCCAAGTTGTTCCATTTTTGCTGTCATGTCAAATCTGGATTTAAGTGTGTGTGTGACAGAGTGTGTGTGTGTGTGTGTGTGTGTGTGTGTGTGTGTGCACACGCACATGCATGCATGTGTACATATATATGAAAGACAATGCGTGATGTTTCCTCCCTGCTCCCCCGTTATCCTCTCTTTTTTCTCCCTCCCCTATTTATGCCTCCTTCTTCTCTCATAGGCTGCCTCCCACTTTTATGTTGTATTTGTTTGTTTGATTTAGATTGACGTCTAGAAAGCACAATCTTCCTTTATGTATTTGTCTCTGTAATAGTGATCTCCAGCTCCATCTACCACTCTCCAAATGGTTTGGCTTCGTGCGTTTATTTGGTTTTTATCTTTAATTATGTGTGTGAGTTCATGTCTGTGTGTGGGTTTGTGTTGGATCCCCTGGCTGCTGTGAGCTGTGCTGTGTGGGTTCTGGGAACTGAACTCCAGCTGTGTGCCAGAGCACCACGCAGTCCTAACCCTGAAACCCTCTCTCCAGCACAGCTTCCCTCTTCTTTATAACTAGAGTTGTACTGTGTCAAGAGATGGATTTTGTTTTGCTCTTCTATGTGTAGCTGTCCAGTTTTCCAAACACCATTTGTTAAGAGCTGCCTCTTTCTAAATGGCGGCTTTGGAGTTTGGCTTATTCTTGTTTTTCTAAGACATTGAGATGTGTCCTTCAGTTATTCATTTGGGATCCAATTCATCTTTTTTATTACTTTTAAGTCGTCATACAAAGTAATGAGCTTCACTATAGTATTTTATGTGTCTGTGTTACACTTTGTTTTAATTTGCTCCCTCCCAGTGCCTTCTCTGGGTTTTTTAATGTAAACACTCACTTGTAGCTATGAGCTGTTACTCTACAGCTTCCTTCATTGCCCTAAAGACTGTGATGAGATCTGTGCTTTCATTTTCTTTTGATTGTAGGAAGTTATTTTCACCCTGATTGCTCCAATGACTCATTGGTCACTCAAGAGCACTTTGTATAATCTCTTGGTGTTTCTCTTGTTTCTGGACATTGAGTGTGTATTCCTTTTCACTTCACAGAAATGTCCCACTTATAGCTATATTCATTATTCATTCCACTATGACCTGATAAGAAATTGTTTCAGTACATTTGCATTTTGCTAAGACTTGCTTTATGGACTAAAATGTGAATAATTTTTTGAAGTTGACATGGTGTTAAGAATAATGTGGATTCCACAGCCGTTGTGTGGATTATTCTGTAAATGTCTGTTAAATTTGTGTAACCTGTGGTATAGATTACGCTGAAGTTTCCTTACTAGTTTTTAATCTTGATGACCTGTTTCAGAAGTGGGCTGTTGAAATCACCCCCTGCTGTTACATCCAAACCTATTTGTCCTTTTGCATCCATTAATGTTTGTTTTATGAACTTGGAACTTCCAATAGTGTGTGTGTGTGTGTGTGTGTGTGTGTGTGTGTGTGTACAATTGTTATGGCTTCTTGGTGGATCACTTACTTTGTTAAGCTGTCTTGTGCCTCCCTGAAGGTTTTCAGTTACAGCATGCTCCATCAGTTATCCTAGCAGTTATCTAAGAATGAATCTTGCTTTCATTTGCTTGGTTGATTGATTTCTGTCCTTTCTCTTGGAGACTTTTTGTGAGTGAGCTGTGTTTTTTGGAGGACATTATCCAACTAACTAGTCTGCATTAATTGGGAAGTTAAAACATTTGCATTTAGGGTTATCAGTGGGAAATAGCTACTACTACACTTTTTAGAGCTCCCAAATGAGTGCAGTCAGGCAGTATGTTACTTTCTGTATCTGGGTTATTGCACTTAGTTAGCATAATATCTTCCAGGCTCCTTTATGTTGTTACAAATGACAGTAATTCCCTCTTTTTTAAGATTTGGTGGCATTTCATTATATATATATATATATATATATATATATATAT